CCTAGTCCAACCAGTGTCGGAGAAGGTCGTAGTTTCTTAGTGGTGGCTGGCTATTATCGGAGATTTATTGAGGGTTTCTCAAAAATAGCAGGTTTGATGACTCAGTTGACTAGAAAAGGTGTGAAGTTTCAGTAGACAGAAAAGTGTGAAAAATGTTTTCAGAAACTGAACCAGAGATTAGTTTCGGCTCTTGTATTGACGATACTCGAAGGTTTGGATGGGTTTGTAATATATAGTGACACCTCCAAGCAAGGTTTGGGTTGTGTTCTGATACAACATGGAACAGTGATTGCTTATGCCTCGAGATAATTAAAGCAGTATGAATAGAATTATTCAAATACGGACCATAAAAATTTTAAATACTTCTTCACATAGAAGGAATTGAATATGAGACAGAGGAGATGGTGGAGTTAGTGAAAGATTACGACTGTACAATTCTTTACCATCCGGGTAAGGCTAACGTAGTCACAGATGCCTTAATTAGGAAGACAAGATCGCAGTTAGCAGTTTTACCCCGATTTAGGAACACTTGGTAAAGGACTTTGACAAATTGAGATTGGAAGTCATCACGTCGTCAACTCAGACTACAGTGAGAACAAAAGCATTTATGATTCAACTTACTCTTCGGGATCGAATCAAGGAAGCACAGGATAGGGCCCCATTTTTGCAGAAGATTAAAGCTGAAGTTGATACAAACAAATATAGAGGATTTGAAGTAACTGNTTCAAGATCGAATCAAGGAAGCACAGGATAAGGATCCATTCCTACAGAGAATTAAGGCTGATGTTGATTCAAACAAACGTATAGGGTTTGAAGTATCAGCAGAAAACACGCTGACTTTTAGAGGAATGTTGTGTATACCTAAAGATGAAAATACAAGAAACGAAATATTGGCATAGGCTCATTCCACCCATATGTTGCACATCCTGACAGTACGAAAATGTATCGAGATCTCCGAGATACATTTTGGTGGACAACATGAAGAGAGAAATTGGCCTGTCCGTAGAGAAATGTATTGTTTGTCAGCAAATCAAGGCAAAACATCAAATGTCATCAGGACTGCTGAAATCATTGGATATTTCAGAATGGAAATGGGAACACATAGCAATGGATTTTGTGGTGGGCTTTTCGAGATTAGCAAGAGGTCACAAACTATTTGGGTAGTGGTTGATTGTTTGACGAAGTCGGCCCATTTTCTGCTAATCAAAGTAAATTTTAATATGGAACAGATCGCACAGTTATATATCATATAGATAGTCAGATTGCATGAAGTTCTAGTCACCATTGTTTCAGATAGAGACACGGGGTTCACATCAAAATTTTGGAAAAGCTTACAATGAGCCGTGTGAACGAAATTAAAATTTAGCATCGCATATCATCTACAGACAGATGTACAATCGGAAAGAACCATTCAAACTCTAGAAGATATGTTGATGGTGTGTGTTTTGGATCTTGGCGGTAGTTGAGAAACTCATTTATCGTTAGTGGAGTTTGCTTACAACAATAGCTTTCAGGCCACTATAGGCATGGCTCCATATGGAGCTCTTTATGGTAGGAAGTGCAGATTACATATCCATTGGGATGAGGTTGGAGAGAATAGAATTTTGCACCTGAAATTATTGAACGAACAGTTGAGGCAGTTAATAAGATTAGAGCAAGAATAAAGATAGCACAAGATCGACAGAAAAGTTATGCTGATGGTAGAAGAAAAGACTTTGAATTTCAAGTAGGTGACAAGGTTTTTCTAAAAGTAGTGCCAATGAAGGGTGTATTGAGATTT